AGATACGGCAATGGGTATGGCCTGAATGCCACAGCCGTGCACTGCTATACAAAACAGCTCTTTATAGCCCTCAGACATATGCGCAAGTGCAGGATCATGCACGCTGATTGTAAGTTCCAAAATGAGGAAAACAGAAAGGGCAAACTTAACATTGCGCATTGGCATAATTAACCATTTCGCAGGTGCACATCATAACCATGCGAGTAAAGTGAACCCTGTTTTCCCTCCCACATCTGGTAATTTCATTTGTGCTGTGTTTATTTTCCTCCCCTCCCCTTTTTGTGCAGTAAAACCGGACAATATACTAATCAATGAGAAGTTCAACGCGCTAAAGGTATGCGACTTGGGAAGCGCAAGCGATATATCAGAAAACGAAATTACCTCCTACCTGGTTAGTCGATTTTACAGAGCCCCGGAGATCATTCTTGGATTTCGCTACGATGCGCAGATTGACGTGTGGTCAGCGGCGGCCACCGTCTTTGAGCTCGCCACAGGAAAGATCCTCTTCCCCGTAAGGAAAGCTCCCTCGAAAGCGCTGCATTGAAAGCGCTGCCACGAGAAAAATACAAAAAAGAGGCCGTGATAATAGCCTTAAACGGTGAACTCTAAACAGTTTGCTGCAACTTGTGAGCCGAACCCACTGAACTGCTCACACTGAACCTCTCAAACCGAACTGCTTACACTTCCATCCCTGCAGGGGAAATCCAACAACCACATGATCAAGCTTATGATGGAGTACAAGGGGAAGTTCTCCCACAAGATGATAAAGGGGGGTCAGTTTTATTCGCAGCATTTTAACGACAACCTCGACTTCATCTACGTGGACAGGGATTATTACACGAAGAAGGAAGTGGTGCGAATTATATCTGACTTGAGGCCCACCAAAAATATAACGTGCGATTTGCTGGAGCATCAATATTGGCTGAAAGGTGAGGAGAGACAGAACCAGTTGGCCAGTGAATGCCATCATCCCAACGTCCCGACGTCCAAACACGTGTGCCAATTTGTGACACGAGCGAACTATATTTGTTGGGCGTCTCACTCTGTATGAGTAAACACACAACTGAGCGAACCTAACGAAGATATTTTATTTCAATTTTAACGTACTTTTTTTTTTTTTTTTTGCGTAGGAAATAGCCCCAAGATGCAGTTTTTAAAAAAAAAAATAAAGCAGCTGGGGGACTTGCTGGAGAAGTGCCTCATGCTGGACCCCACGAAACGCTACACGCCTGACCAGGCCCTGCAACATCCCTACTTGAGGGAGTCCATTCACTTTACCAAAACGCAAAATGAGTGAATGCGAATGTTTCCGTAGCAACGTGTTTTTGGGTAGCATCGTCTGTTTGGCTAACGCCTCGATCTTTGCCGAGCAATTGTTTGCAGTGTATAAGAAGTGTGTATGAGTAGTACATGCATGCCGATGCTGCTATGTTCGTATCCGCATTCCTTTTTTTTTTTTTTTCTTTTTCTTTTACTTCCCGTTTCTTCCCTTCAACCCTTATACCTTATATGTCTTAATTTTTTTGTCGAAAGAACATCAATAATGCTCGATGGACTCTTATCTTGAAATGCTATTTCGTAGATTGTCCTAAATAATGGAAATTCGTTTTCTAATTTGTGGTGCTCTAGCAAGCTATACACTTCCTTGGCCGTGTGGATGCCCTGCGGAGGAGGGATTCCCAGAGGGGGACGAAGAGGTGGCGGGGGTGAACATGCGTATGTCTCTTTACATGGGGGAGGGATAATTCACGTAGAGTTGTAGCAGTCCAGCTGGTGGTACACGAAAACAGGAAAACGCGGAGGTGATTATGTTTTATGTGTAAGGACCTCAGTCCATTCACGAGCGTTTTTACTGCATGGGCCATTTTTCTAGTGCAGAGCTTTCTGTAAGGTTTAGCATGTCTACATGATGCGCAGTTATACCTGAAGCTTCTGCCCGTTAAGAAGGTCCATTTCGATCTGATCCCAGGAATCTGTTCCGTTCCTTGTGGCGAACTCTCGTGCACACTTGAGGTTCCTTCCCCCAAGACATGTGGTTATGAGATCAGCCAGCCCACAACTGTCTAAAAAGGTTTCCTTAAAGGAGGGAAAATAACAAAATTAGCTCATTCGTCATTCTGTTTGTGAGCACAGTGGTTGCTTCTCCTGTTTGGGGGATATTATATTTCCATTTTAGGTATTCTATCCAGACGGTGCAGCCATTTTTGTTCTTTTTTTTCCATTTTTTTTTTTTTTCCTTGGGTGCACTTACATCTAGAACGTCCGGGAAGAACAGCCGGGCGAACCTCTTCATTTCGTCCAGGCCAATTCTGATAATGGCTGACTTTGTGTTATAGCTGTGCCTGGATGCATCTAGAAATCCCACTCCTAACGCGACTACGTTTTTCAACGCTCCGCATGTCTACGCAGTGGTGGTGGGGGAGATTGTAAAGGTGTGAAGGGTACCGTGGGGAAAACGAACTAGCGTTCACGGGCGTGGATATATGGAAGATGACACGTCCAGTGGTAGGTTGTTGGTACACTGTTGGAACGCTACTAACACTGCTAACATGCTCACGGGCCTCACCTCCACTCCCGGTTTGTCCTGGACGCAGTTTATCTTGAAGTACGTCCTGTCGAACAACTCCTGCCAGATCCCCGCCGCCTGGGCATCTTCAAAGCCGATGGTGCTTTCGCTGAAGTTTTCCGTGGACAGCTCCTGAGGTGATCAAAGCGGGGAAGGTTCTTGAACTGTACGTAGAAATATGCTTGTCGTATTCGTGGTAAGCTCTTCACGACAGTTGCTGGTAGGTCTATTTCCTCGTATAGCTTCCTGAATTGGGGCTTTCTCCACTTAGCACAAGGTGCAAATGAGGGGAGGCCCCTACATATCCCCAAAGTACTGAACAGTTGGAATTTCTCCCTTTTTAGCGTAAGATGCATGAGAGGAAAAGGGCCAATCTGGGACCCATTTTACAAAGACCTCAAGCGATATCAAGCAATATCAGCGTGATATGCCCAGGTACTTGCACATACATTTGCTATGTTGGATCCGGACAAAGCTTCGCACCCAATTTTTAGCTTGTCCTCGATTACACTGGACAGAAGCGTGGGCTTACAGTTGTCTATTTTGATTCCCTTCATTAGGCTTATCGCCCTTGCGTCTTTTTTGACGTTTTCGTTTTTCACAATTTCGTTTAGCACGTTCTGCAGGGGGGGGAGGGGGAAGTCAAGGATGCCGAAGTCGAGGGAGGCGAGGTGCATTATGTTCGCAGTGCATAAAGGTGGGCTCTTCCAAATGCGGACTCCCTCACGAGTGCTCATTTCCCATTTTCGCTGCCGCGTTGCGCTCTCCTCAGTTACCTCTAGGTACTGATGAGGTACTACGAAGATGAGCAAATCGGCATCCTCAACCGCGTCCTTCAAATTCGAAATGGCCACTACATTGTCTGGCACCTTCATCCCCTTCATGTACTTTACGTTTTCCTTTTTCGTGTTGATAATGTTGCTTAATTTCTCGTTGTCTACAATTTCTTCCTTTACGTACATCCTAACCTGAGTGAAATGGCAAAGGGGGAGGGGGGTGGTCTCTGACATGGGTTGTCGTTCTAATGGGACAGGGGCATAGTTTCATTCGTACAACTATGTAAGTGAATACTGATCTGTGTATTTATGCGCCATTTGCTAGCTAGCTAGATAGTCTTTTTTTTTTTTTTTTCTTTTTTTTCATTTTTACCACTGGGTGGAATATTTTCGACTTGTGCGTATTCTCGGCGACGATTTTTGAAACAACGGTTCCCCAACTGCCACTGCCGATGACGGAAACCTACCAAGGGGGGGACGAGAGCGTAAAAAGGGAGCGGAGAAAATAGGGACATTTCACCGCAAAATACAGTTACATGCTAAAAGAATGAACGTTTCTTTTTTCTTTCTTTGTTAAAAGTTCAGTTCCTTCCGCGGGAGCCTTTTCTATGGTTGTCCCAACAGTTATACATAGGTGTAACCATAAAGTGTGCTGTCTCCCTTTTTTTTTTTTTTGGATTACTTTAAGAGGGAGGTTGCTTGTGGCACCTGCGACGAGGGGGTTTCTACTGACGTTTGGCAGGCTGCCGGAGAAGCAGGTTGCCAACTGGGGCACTAACAGGAGGTACGACAGGAAGCGCTTCATCATTTTGTTAAGTAAAGAAAAAGGGACATGGACCGATTCTGTCGCAGTTTCTGGGCAGTGTTGGTGTGACTTCTGCGCAGCTTTCACTCCTTCCGTTCTGTGTAACCATGTAGGAAGCAGATCTGATCGCTGTTTTGAAGCATAAAATTATGAATTTCTTTTTTTTTTTTTTCCTTCATTTTTAACATTTGTATGCAGGATGGGAGGCAACATAGGGTGGGGTTCCCAAAAAAATGTGTTGACATTTCTTTTAAAAAAAAAAGGTGCATAGCTACCAGGTGCCATTCCAAATAGGTATTGCCCCTTTACCATTTGGTTAGACTTCCGCGGTCATGCATGCGACAGAAAAGTGACAGCCTCAATTGGGATGATGTTTGTACCAAGTTAAAAACGTTCTTTTATTATTTTTATTTTTTTTTTTTTGTCATTTTACTAACAAAATTTTAGCACCCTCGGTTTGTTACACCTGTGGAGAATGCGCTTTGAAAAAATTGAGAACTCGCGGGGGGCGGGCAAAACAAAAGGGTGCATAACCCTGTGCGAAGACATCACCTGCTTCTTTCCTTTAAATTGGCTTCCACCGAATTGGTACATTCTCTATTTTATGTTTGCAGTGATGGTGGGAGGAACCGTCTTTTGGGGGGTTGTTCTCCAGAAAAGCACACGGAGGGGGTGCGACGGCGCCTGGGCCCCTGTCCACCTGCTTATACATGTATGTATTTTTTTTTTTTTTTGCCACTCCGCACAACTGCCCGGTCACAAAGAGGGGAAAAAAGGAAGAGTGAATTGCCCACTGCTACGTGTTTACGTCTCAGGTGCACAGGGGCATTAGTGTCCTTTCCAATGCCAAACCATGTGCTTTATTTCCGCGCGCATTAACACAGACCAGTGCTTTTCTTTTCCGTCGAGGGGATACGAAGGTATATGAGTTCCTTTTTTCCCGCCTGGGCTGTCTTTGCCCCCTCAGAAGAAGTAGGGCGTTCCTCTTAGCGAGTTCATTTGCCCCTTTGGCTACGCGGCTACTTCACCCCTAAGGGACACAACTTAGAGTGCACAAAGATCCTAAATGAAAAAAAAAAAAAAATTAGCGAGAACAGCTTTCCAGCATTCACAAAAAAAAGGGATAATCGGGAAACTTTCATAACTTCCACCCAGAATACACATTTTAACCCCCCCCCTCGCCCAGTGTGCAGGGCAAGAAAAATAGGGCCACACGAACTTCCCCCCAAAACAAACCTCTCTGCCGGGAGGTTTTACACCCAAACGGATTTACAACTTCGCAAAAATCGAACGGCCAAATGAAAATAAAAAAGATAACAGCATGGAAACAG